CGTGCAATCCCTAGCTGGAAAGAAGTTCACACTTATCATTGTTGATGAGTATGCCAGGTACACTTGGGTATTCTTTCTCAGATCCAAGGATGAAGCACATGAAGAACTCATTTCGTTCATCAAAAAGATAGAAGTACTAAACGATGTTAAAGTACGATTTATCAGAAGTGACCATGGTACTGAATTCAAAAACAGTACTATGGATAACTTCTTTGAGGACAAGAGAATCTCTCACAACTTTTCTTTAGTGAGAACTCCTCAACAGAATGGGGTCGCTGAAAGATGAAATCGAACAATCATTAAGGCTGCTCGATCAATACTTAGCTAATCCCATCTCCCTACTCAATTTTGGGCTGAAGGTGTCAACACCGCTTGTTTCACTCAAAACCGATCGCTGATCGTGAAAAGATTCAAGAAGACRDCCTAYGAACTYTTCCATGGACGAAAGCCTTCCATAAGCTTTCTTCATATATTTGGTTGTACTTGTTABATTCTCAACAACCGTGACCAACTTGGAAAGTTCGATCCCAAAGCTGATGAAAGAATATTTCTTGGATATTCTTCTATATCCAAAGCCTTCAGAGTATTCAACAAACGAAGACATACAATAGAGGAATCTATTCATGGCACCTTTGACGAATCTCAGTCAGCTAATTCAAAACCCATATCAAATGATGAGGATGAATTAAAAAACTGGATGTTCTTTCACTATGGACAACCTGAAGCTTCTTACAGTGCTCTCTTAACACTGAATATCCCGAAGCTGAAGATGATCCACTCATCATTCCAGTTACAGCTAGTCACTCCACCGCATCTTCTTCAGAGATCGTTGCAATGCCTATTAGTTGTGTCCCTCCTTCTACTTCAAACGCTGATCTATCATTGAATGAAATGCCTTCAGTTTCTAAACCTGTTTCAGTTGCTGAATCTGAGGCTCCTTTAGCAATAGTCCCTATTGCTGAAGAAACTGCTGCTGAAGCCTCATCTTTTATACTTGAACTTGCCTATTCAGGTGAAGCCTCTTTACCGGCTCAACGATGGACTAAAAGCCATCCAATTCATCAAATTCTTGGTGATCCAGATGCAGGTATCAAGACACGTTGGTTTGATGTTAATCCCTTTTCACTTATACGTTGTATTTATGTTTTTGTCTTTTCAGTTCCAACGACCTTCACTGAGTATGTTCAATGATCACTGAAGAACTTGCATTGTAAATCTATCAGAGACATCAATACTTCAAGAAGACAACACTCACACCAAAGAACCTTCAGCAAATGTCGAAGACTGAAACTGGAGATTAGAGACTGGCGAGTATGTGATCTGAAGCGGTATTCAGTGATTACAAACCTGTCTACATATGTGTGAAGACTGCTCAAGCTTCAGCGAATGATGAAGAGACCTTCAGGTCATTCCAGCATTCAGCGATCAGAGGAAGCTTGCTTAGCACGACTGTTGTTGTCTTATCCTTATGTGTAAAGGACAAACACCTTACCCTTATGAAAGTTGGTATGGTACGGAGCCGACTAGTCGACTCTATTGTCCACCAACTTTGGGTAAGGATGTCTGTTCATGAATAGTGCTTTTTGTACTATTCACTGTAGCAAAGGACAAGCCTTTCTCTTAAGGCTTGACACACACTCTAACCCTACCATATTGCATTAAATGTTCATTTAATGCAATGTGTATAAATAGAAGTGTTTCTTCTCCATGCAGAGTGCGCGCAACTCACTCTCTAACCCTAATTCTTACTTCATGCATTTTCTAGCTTAAGTAAATGATCTTCTCTACAACATTTCTTTTCTTGTAATTGCTAAGACTTAGTGTGTAACTAAAGATTGTTTAGATAGATTTTTATCACCTTATCTTTCCGCAAACAATCTTGTAAAATCTGTATTGATCTTTTTTATCAATATATATTTTAAATTTGAAAATATTGTGGTTGTATTCATCCCTCCTTCTACAAACTGTTTTACTATTCTTGTAAACCCTCAAGGGACCAACATATATATATATATATAGTTTTTAAAACAATGATTTTGTTTCATTAATATTAGGTAATGCATGATCTTGTTGCCTCGGTTAATGATATTTGATGTTTTACATTTTTGTCCTTTTTCAATTAAAAAATAATTTTTTTTATTTCTTAATATAAACTACTCTAATCTTGACCATTGATCAAGAAAAATGAATGAATGAGATTGGTTTGTATGGTTTACACAAAATGGGGCGGTTTTCATTTGATCCCTCTCTCTCTCTCTATTGGCCATTGATTCTTATATATAGGGGATGGTTCAAATCTTAACCAAGATTATTGTGACTTTGTTAACCAATCTTGGCCATTGATTCTTATAATAAACAGTTGTGATTAATCATGATAAAAAATTAATTTTTTAAATTTACAATTTCACAAAACATATGTGAACAAAGGGGAAAAGGGTATTTAGGTAAATTTTTTTCTATGTAACTCTCATATCATTAATTGAGAGTTATAAATTCAAAAAATCCCATTATTTTTGTTAATGTAAGAACCATATGAACACATCTATATATATATATATATATATATATATACCATTGTGTCAAATACGAACATAAATTGACGAACTTGGACTGCATAACATTTATGAACACAATATGAACATAATAAAAATAGCTGCTACATGATAGAAAATTAAAATAAAAAAACAGGTATGAACAGCTTGTGAACAGTAATTCCTTCATTATGAATACATTCATGAGCGAGCCAGTGTTGAGATATACAGCTAGTGTATATATGAACACAATATGAACATTTGTGAACAATAATTCCTTCATTATGAACACATTCATGAGCGAGCCAATATTGAGATATGTAGCTAGTGTACATATGAGCACAATATGAACAACTTGTGAACAATAGTTCCTTCATTATGAACACATTCAGGAGCGAGCCAATGTTGAGATATGTAGCTAGTGTACATATAAACACAATATGAACACTTGTGAACAATAGTTCTTTCATCATAAACAATGAGTTTATCCATAATAGCTTGAACGATACCGAAAACTTTACTATCGGGTCTCTTCTACCAATCACAAATTCAAAAACATTATATTTAGAAAAATCAATATTATAAAAAAAACAAGACCAATAATAAATTAACAAAAATTATGAATTCAATATTAGATGCCTTGATTCATGTCCCTACTAGAACATATATGAACACACCTGAACGTATATGAACACTAGTTGTAGTCTATGGCAAGTCAAGCATCACAAGCAGCTGATGGAGCCGAATGGTTATCAAAATTGGATTGCATAACAAATTAAGTTGACAATAAACTCATTTCATTTGAACATATGAATTGGGCTCGTAGTAATAATTAAAGAAAAAACTAGCAACACAATATGAACCATAAAAAACACAAAAACGTGATAATGAACATAATTTCGATTAAAACAAATACAATAACATATTAATCCATTACCAATACAAACGCTTTGATTATTGTCTTCACTTCCGAAACTCGAAGTCCGATTGTCATCGTAAACCATTTTAACCTTCTCATTGTTGTCGAGTTGTTTTCCAATGAGTTTATTCATATTAGCTTGAACGATATCAAAAACTTTACTATCAGGTCTCTTTTAACAATCACAAATTTAAGAACATTATAGATAAATAAATCAATATTATAGAAAAACAAGATCAATAGTAAATCAACAATAATTATGAGATTTTTTGATTTTGTAACCCAATTAATGATATGAGAGTTACATACAAACTAAAATTACATATTTACCCTTATCATTAATTATGAGATGAAAATGAACCTAGATAAAAAATGAATTTTCATTGGTTGAAATTGGTTAACAAAGTTAACACAATAATCTTGGTTAATATTTGAACCAATCTCTCTCTCTCTCTCTATGCATTTATGTATTTGACTGTTGGTTTGGTCCAAACCACCCAAAAAAGGTTCCAGACTGCAGACTTGACCGGACCGTCCGGTTTTTCCATTCTCCAAACCAGATCAAACCGTCTGACTGCTCAAACTGCATAAAACGATCTGATTTAACTAGGTTCGGCCGATTTAAACGATGCTAACGGTTTTTTTTTGAAAACCCTAACGAAACTTCACAGCTACTATTACACCGCTACTGTTACAAAACACAGGTTGTGGTTTGAAACTGACCGCTCGTATTACAAGCATGTAAAAGATAGCGTAGATCAGCTGGGCTTTGGAAGTCAACAAGTCTACGCGCATGTTGGAACCAGGCTCCATTGCTGTATTTCTTTAAAAAAAACAAAGAGATGGGGGTCAGCATGTAATTTGTGAACCCAATTCAAGCTTGAAGAAGGAGAAGAAGAAAGATCAAATCCAAAACACACAAAAATGAATTTTGAAATCGTGAAGGATTACTTGGAGAAAAGCAGCTCTAAGGCATCATCAGATGATATTGATTCCATGCCTTTCAAGTTCTTCGAACCCATGATTATGTTCGGTATTAAAGTAGATCTAATCGAACGTGGTCGTGTCCTCTGCTCCATGACAGTTCCTGCTCGTTTACTGGTTAGTTGATATTGTTCACTTGATCGATTTCGAGATGATGAAAATTACATGTTACCATAAGAAATTACTTTGGGGGAAATCGGACGCCTGTAATTCTTTTATGATTAGTTGCTTCCTCATGTTGTTTATGGGTGAAATCGAGAATTCAGTAACCGATTCCTGTTTTTTTCGAAATTATGGAACGGAAGAACGTAGGTAATTCCTTGCACGGTGGAGCGACTGCGGCGCTGGTTGATGTGGTGGGTTCATCTGTTATTCTGACTTTTGACCGTGCGTCCACCACCGGAGTTTCAGTGGAGATTAACGTTTCCTACTTGGATGCTGCTTATGTTGGTGTATGTATCTGTATCCCTCTTCATCAATCATTACTATGATTCTGATTCCACTTTGAATCCCATCTTCTATGATTGCTGATTGCGATCCTCTAGGTTTTTTATTTTATAATGAAATGCTAAGCATGTTTTTGAAAAAAAGTTGGCCTTGCACCATGAGTTAATCTAACATAATTGGGGACCTCTATTTTGTTGGCATGAGTGTCTGGGCCAGCTCTCGTGCACCTCGACACGGCCCTAGAGAACAGCCTGCAAAATCTGCAGCGGCCTTGTAGGACTCGAAGCAGTGACCTTTGAGGAGGATCACCAAAGGCCCAAGCCTTGTTGCCAGCTGAGCTAACGACCTTTGTCATGAGAACAATGGAAAATACTAGTAATACAACAAAAGCTTAAAAAAGGTAATTTACTGCGGATGCATAAGCTCCTGTTGATACGAAATAGTTCCTAGGTGAAATCCTATGCAAACCCAAGCATCTTGAATCTTCGTTGAATTACAAAAAGAATAATTCTATCCTAGTTTAAGGAGGAAAAAAAGTCTCACCTAAATCTAGCTAAACCATAAATTGGTTCCAGTAGCTGCTTTTAACTTTGCACACTGAAAACCAAATTATGATGAAATAATAATACTTATGTTCCTTGTGTATTTGTATGATCAAAAAATTATTGATAATAGGTGAATGGAAGAATTAGTATCTCTATAGAGTAATAAACAATCACTAACATACAGATTTGTTGGTTGATCCACCCTTATGCCTTCAAGCATGCCCAACAGCTAACGAATATCTTATTAATTATTTCTTTTATATCTTGACAAAGATGTTCCATTTGTGGTCTTGAAAGGTTTTAGTTGGTAGTATGTATTCCAGCACAGTAGGTGGGGTTATGACATGGTATATATAGATATATATGTACAGCCTCTGCAGGCAAAATGTATATTTAGCAGAACCTTAAAGAAACAAGAAAACTTGGTACAAACCTGATCTGGTGAAGATTAGACTCATCTGGTACCTGCAAACCTGGGAGAAGGTGGGGCTTCTCAGGGGAAACACTCAAGTTAAAAGGGTTTCTTTTTTAATGAATGAAGTAGGTATCTGGTGTGAGGTTTTTATAGTTTGCATATGAAGACTTACTGAAAGTAGGACTCCCCTTTTGGTGCTTGGCCCCATAGAGTTTGCATGGGAGTAGAACTCTTAAATCTGCCTTGTGGCATTATGTTATGGCTTCCAATGTCGAGTCTTCTAGTTTGGAGTTTCATACTTGGTCTTGGAAGCTCAGATTAGAATGGTTTCGGAATTCACCTCTGGATGAGGCTTGTCAGCGTGTCTCTTGGTGCTTTGATGCTAGGTCGCTCCACTGGACAAGGTTCGTAGACATGTTCTTGGGAATGTGCATTAAGGGATGTAAAGATTGGACGAGGTTTTCTACTTATCTAGGATGTTCTCATGCACATCAAAACCTAATACTAAAAGCTTAGGGAGATTAAAAATCTTTTTGTAACATTGAAATTTAGTGTTTCATGATTTGATCCTCTCAAGCAATAGTGGGCACATAATGGAAGTTGAGCTCAAAGCAAAGAGTAACATAATGATATTTTTTGGCTGAGGTGGAAGTGGAGGTAGTGGTAGGACCGTAGGATGCCAGCAGATAATGAATCTGGGTGAAGTTGGGAAGCTGGATGCAAAAGATGAGGTGGCTGGTGGAGTTCTATAGACAGCATGGATGAATTATGCATCTGGGTTTCACTAGGAAGAAGTTTTTCTTAAAAAACTAGCATAATCTGATACCATGATAGAACCATAGAAGTGAAGGAAGAGATAGAAGTCAATCCAATTACATCAAGGAAGTTTATTAATATATATACATATATATATATATATATATATATTTAGCTACATACAACCATGGAGATTACAATCATGTTAAGTATATATGTTATCAATTTATATCGATTTAGCAAGGTATTGTCTTTGAAGATATGGACATGCTTCCACTTTTTAAAGGATATCTCCATCACGTGTTCTCAAAACATAATGTTCAATCCTTGTAAACACGCATTTCTCATATTTTGACTATAAACAGTATCTGTTATCCACAAACCAAATGTAGATTCTCAGGTGGCCTTATGTCATAGCCAAGATGGTGGCTTGCAGTTTGTCTTCGTAAGTTACTATTTATTATTGGTGTATATTAATAGCAAACTTCTTTGTATACTTGCTTTTAATCTTTTAATTGAACACTTGAAGCATGATGAGCTAACCTGCACTTTTGCACATTCGAACTGCAAGACTTTTTTGCAGTCTTTTGGTTTGAAACAGCAAGAGCCAAGATGTAATCTTTATGTGGCTGGAGCATGTAAAAAGGTCTTGCATGATTTATAGAAATCTTGTGACATGTGATTGATGGTCATTGTGTTTGACTTATTTCTTCAGTTTGCACTTTGTACCATAGCAATGTATTTTAATTAAATCCATACAAGACTTGACAAGTTTCTTACAGGATGAGATTGAGATAGAAGCAAAGGCATTGCGTGTGGGGAAGGCTGTTGCTGTTGTGAGTGTAGAATTTAGGAATAAAAAGACTGGAAAAATAATTGCACAAGGGCGCCATACCAAATACCTCGCCGTATCAAGTAAATTATGAGCTACAGGTATCTTCTCATATAGAAAGATCCCCTCGAATCACGTTAGATATATGTTCACACATATCTCTACACGTGATTAAATGATGACATTCTTTCTGGTCTTCTACAGTTCCGTGGCTTTGGGTGACACAAAGAACTACAATTGTTTACATCTTCTCAGATTGTTAAAGTCCATGCTGATTATATATATATATATATATATGTATATATATATGTATTTGTTTCAGAACTGTGTTTTCATTAGTTCTTTGCTTCATGTCTGGGCTTTGTAAAGTATGCTGAATGTGGTAGATTTGCTTGAGTTGATCTGCACCACTTGGTATAAGTACTTCTCAAGATGCCTGCCGTCTTTTTAAGTATATAATAATTATATACAACAAAACTCACACACACTCCCCAACCTTTGGTGGAGGCTTAACCCTTGACCTCCAGAGTGGTTGGGTTCTACCAGTAACCCGGTTCACGCTAAGCCAGTGAACCTTTGGTCTGCTTGCCCCTTTTCGTGGAACTTTATGATTAATGTCAAGATGCTATATGAGTTCTAAAGTGTTTACGACTGTGATGGTCATGGATGCATGAGTGCCACATATATATGGTTGAACTGTATAGAGAATAGTGCTAGCTAAGTTTATACATCTTAAATATACAAGATTAATACTTATGATCCAATTGTGGAATGTGAAAGCAATTCTTGTTAACAATTGCTCAACTTGTAATATTAGTTCTATTGGTAGTCCTATGTGTCACTTGTTGCATTGGAGTTTATATTGCATTTGTTGTGTATAAACTTAACCTTCTTTCCAGTAAACCTAGTATGATCATTGTGAGATATTTGGAAAAAACCACTACTTTGACATCTATGGTATACGAGATACTAAAGGGCGGTTTACCAACAATAGCTGATAAGCGCTGTTTGAAATACGAGGTCTGATTAGAGTAAGCATCTCTGTCTGGAGTAAGTGTTGTTTGTAAAAAACTGTTTACCAAGTATTCTGGATTTGGTGCTGACTAATAAAAAAAATGACCATTATAACTCTATATGTGATGAAGTGTTTAAACTAATATAACTATTTATCAAATTTTATGTATGAATAATTGTTGAAATGACAAAAATACAAATTTCATAATTAAAATATATTTAACCGGGAAAATAAATTGGATTTAAACATAATAATTGTCGCACAGATCTTAATTTGAAATATTAGACAATAACTGATTTGCAATCTAATCACGCAAACTAGTCATATATTCACTATCTTGAGAACTCCATTGTATTTCATCGACTTCTATTTCATTATTTCCTTCATGTTGTTCTTCATTGGTGGTGAACATGGTGTTCTCATCGTGTTCAATAAATAATTGGTCTTGGATATTGCATTTCCTTGTAAGGTTATGAATCGCGAAACAAGCAATCACCATATCTTTCTGTATTAAAAAAGGATAAGGAGCCATTTGCTTCAGTATTGGAAATCTTGCTTTTAAGACACCATACGCATGCTCGATAACATTTCTAAGTTGTGCATGAGCGTGATTGAACATTTCTTCTTTTGTTAATGCATGTCTACGTCGAAAATCTGCTAACCAATACCTCGTATTGCGATACGGAATCATAAATCCACATGTACAAGTATATGCGGCATCACAAAGATAATATTCATCTGTAATTACATCTAGAACTTAAAAAATATGGATTAATAATAATATTTTAATGTTAATAAAATGATACTTGATGAAGGAAACGGAAATCCCGAAGTTGGGTTAAATGCAACTTCTCTCAAAACTCTTAAATCATGTACAATGTCTTTCCATCTAGCCCATACAAACGTGAATATCATATTAAAATCACAAATGGCTAAGACGTTTTGGTAGCATTCCCCTCTTCATCTATACCTTGTTTGTTGATCACTAGACACAACTGCATGCATCAGGGTTCCATCTAGTGCACCTATAGCCCCCTTTAAAAAACATCAACTACAGGAAAATTGTAAACATATCAAAAACGTTTAGAAATTATCAAATCAATAACATAAATCATACCGGAAATATTTCTTTAAGGTGCCTAAATCTCTGATGTATTTGATGTTCCATTAACCGATGTTGGCCCTACTACCTCTCTCACCGAATTCCATCATTCCTCTCAATACTTCATGAAAACAATTATGAATAGTCCGTGTAGAGTGTTGAAATCTACGTTTAACCATTCGAAAACGTTCATTGTAAGCAACAATTGTCAAAAACATCGCCATCTTCTCTTCAACATTTATTTGCCTACTTGATTGCAACCAATTTTTTTTGTTTAAAATGGTCGCATAGCATTATAAAGGCATCACGAGATAAACACATCAATTCATGACATTGCGTATTGGATTCACTTAATAATTCTTGTGTATACGCTTGTCTATTGAGAACCGAAGTGTTATCTCTCACCCTTTCTATTCGTGTTGAAGCTCTTCTTCTCAAATACCAATATACAATAACCACAATCAGAATAATATGATTTTCATCCATGTATGACCTTGCAAATATAAAACACAAAATAACATCATCTTATGTTGCAAGGATATCATAAATATAACATCAAGTTTAAACAAATATTCCGTCAAATTGAAATAGCTATTTATTCATATTATATCAATCATAATACCATCCAAACAAAACATTCTAAAAAAGATTGTTCAAAACAAAACATTACCAAACTAAAATAAACCGAGCTTTACCACCTGTAAATTTAACCCATCCCTCACACCTTTCCTCACTCAAGCGTAACCAAATTTTCCTATAGTCGGTGCTTTGGCTGAATATGTAAAGTGTTATGTCATACAATGCAGTTTGCTCCCACCCCAAGTGTTTCCAACTTTTCATTGCAATGATCCATCTCATCCTCCCCTGGTGGTTTGTTCAAGATCTGTTTAACATGTGTCACAACCCTTTCTAAATCATCCTCATTTTCCGAACGTTGTTTTCTTCTTTGTTTTTTCCTTTGACGTTGGGGACGAAAAACAATCTCTTCTTCCGAAGGAAGTGGTTCTTGTGTTAGATCATAATAGTCTTGTGTGCCATAATCTTCAACAATTTTAGGAGTCACACTAGAAGGGTTTGGAACAGTAGTAGTTGGTCCCCAAGTTCCAACACCCGTGGAGGCCACACCATTAAACAATTGAATACAAAGTTGAGGAAAGGGAAGAGGTGCAGTTCGCAACTTCTCAACAAATTTGTTTTGCTGTTTATAAAAGATTTATAAGTATATATAAAAGAAGAATTTAAGAAAATAATTCTTAATAGAAAAAGATAAAACGTGACCTTCATTTCTATCTGCCATTCTTCTTCTGATAGATTAAACATGTTTGTTGATGCATCATAAACATTACCCGTCTTGTTTCTTAACTTTGCTCATGCTCCATACTTTTCTTTGAGGTAATCATAATGGTTTTTCATTTGTCGTTGTTCAACAACAAAATTATGATTCTTTTGTAGCACTTCTGCTACATTCTTCCAAGAAACTGTCTTAAGGCTACCCCCTTCTCGTCCATTTACGGATATCTCATGCAAACAAGACTCGATAAATGTTTTCACCACATTTTCATTTTTCTAATTAATCCTAGGCTTTTTTTGATTGTGAAGATTTTCCAAAATTTGTCATCATATCTAAAACATTAACCATCATATCATGATTAGTTCAAAGGTGCATGTCTTGTAATCCAAATAATTAAAGGTTGTTTGCTTCAAATTGAGGAATGAAAAATGGTCATCTTAGCAAACAACGACGTGATAGTTATAAGACCTCCTATATTAACGGTAAATACAAACTCCATCAAACATATAATAAGCATGAAACATAGTTTAGACATAACATAATAATTCAGGCCATTGACCCTTTGGTAGGTATTTGGTAATCACTGTTGTAAGGGAAGATGGATCTACATGCCTAGTTAAAAATGCAGATTTTTGTATAGTCTTAGACTTTAAGATCAATTACTCTTTCTCAGACTTTTTGAAGGAGTTAATGAACTAGTGTTTGAGCTTGAAGCAAAGAGCATCATGGGAGTTTACTTGAGAAATTTCTCATTATATGATTTTCAGACTGCTCTTGATAGAGGACTGAAGCTTATCAATTTGAAAATGCCAAGAAAGATCCGTGAAAATGATTCTGTATCAATGAAAATTCTGAGCTTACCAGATAATGGGTTTTCTTACAAGAATCCAAACAACAATATAACAATCAATTTGTTCAGAACAATATATGATATATGTTCAGAATATTCTGAGCTTACCAGATATTGGGTTTTTGCCAAGGATATGCCTATGCCTTATGAGTTTTCTATCAATATTGATATGGCTAAAATCATCAAACAACAAAACGAGACTATTTAGAAAGAAAATGAAGAGATTGATGTCACAATTGAACAAAAGAAAGTAGTTATGGTACAAGAAGCTGAAAGATTTGTTGAGCAAATGATTGTTGAACCAATGGTTGATCGAGTAGATATGGAGAAACAAGTTGAACCGTTGTTGAGCAAATGATTGTTGAACCATTTGTTTTAGTTGAAGGCTTGTAGTTATTTGCCTTATTCAATCTTTATATGTTGAAACAATTTTTTTTGGCTTCATCAGTCTTTGGTAGAGAAGGGGGGGGGGGTCCAATCTTGAGAAAATAACAGCACATCCAAAGTTTTTTATTCTTGCTACCATGAATACGCCTATATCCACATCATCACCTTGAAAGTAGTTCACTAAATGGTACAAATTGAAACTTGTCTTCCTGTATGTGCTTATACTAGTGCAAGTTATTTTTTGGCTAAAAACCAAACTGGAGCAGACTTGAAAATCAAGTTTTACATTCTTTCTTTTGAAAAGACCACACAAGCTCTTTTAGCAAAACTAGTTGGGGTCCTTGGGGGATATACACATTTTTGTAACTACACATGCACAACAAGCCTACCAAGTTACTATCTGGACTACAAGCCCTGGTTGAAGGCCAAATCATTTGGATGTCTTGTGATTCAAGGTGTAAGGCGTAGAGCCAAGGCTACCTATTTGGGATATACAGGACAGAGCCAACTGAACCAAATTGTCATGAAACCCAATCCTGAATTCTGAGAATTTTTATCAGACTTAAATGGCACACAAATAGGAATTCCCAAATTTATTCCAAGAAATGAAGAAAAGTACCAGCAGGTGAACTGATTCCAGAAACTTGTGTTCAAGGTGCAAAGCATAAACAAGGGTAGTAGCAGTGGTAAACATTGATTTAAAATCAAACATTTGTTCATCAACCAAAAACATAAATAAGCCCTAAATAGATCAACGGTAACAAATCATTACTCATCAAATAAAAA